GTAACTAACAACAACAAAGTCTACAGTGATGCTCTCCCACCCACCGCCATTCCTGCAGTTAGGTGAAGTCCTATGTAACATTCTTAACTACTCTTCTTCTCTGTGATTTCTCTCAAGAGAATGGTCTAGCATAAATCCAAATAATTGCCCCGGTACAGTATCTATCAGTGTACAAATACATCCTTCTCACACTAAAGAAAATGAAGACTACTGTAGATGATTCACAGAAAAACAGCAACCTAGAAAACAAGGCATGCTTGTCCTAAAATTTTACTTAAACAATAAAATTCATAATCAAGATCAGGCACTAATGCCTTCAACTTCTCATCTGGCCATATCTGAACAGTTTCCTGGTCATTAGTACTTCAGTGTTTGGAAAGTTTTCAATATAAAAAGAAATAAATTGATATTTAAAGTAGTAATTCTTTAACTTCTAATTCCACTTCTGGATTAAGCTATGAACCCAACTTTGTCCCGCTAAATCAGCAGTCATTTATATTATGTCTTTGCTTTTGCGGTCAGAGACAAAGCAGAAGAGCGTCGATTTCAATAGTGATCTATTACACTCTGAAGCGTGTTCATTCCAGTGGAAAGAGGCTGAAAACTTTGCAAAGAAAATATTCCCCTTGAACCATGGTGTGCTTGAATCCCACACGAGAGAATTAGATCGTACACTCGGGTTGCAGGGGCATTACCAACAGACACGGGTGAAACGAGAAAGCTGACTTTCCCTCAAGGGAAACCATCTACTCCATGGGAAGAAAAGGGCAACAGCCACCTAATACACTTTCCCCATCTCTGCAAGGCACACGAGATCCTGTAGAGCAGGAATGCCCAGAGCAAACACATGATTTAGAGAAAACTATGCCAGCGTAGCACTGAATTCTGCATCAGAGGGAGAGGTCAGGAAGGTTGCATGCCAAGCATAACGGGCATTTTTCTCTCTTCAAGCTTTGTTTTGATTTTTAATATGCTTAATGTTTAAGACAATCTTATTCTGTTTTCTACACAGCGCCTTTGTGAGAATTATCTACAGTAAAATAATCTCTAAAGGATATATTTGGATACAGAGAGAGATTTTAGAGGAAAACAGTAAATCTTTGTTCCAGCAGCGAGGTAATATGTAAGAATGTTATCTAAGACTTTACCTGAACCTAAAAAATTGGGGAAAGCGTGAGACAAGGCAAACGTCTTGGTTCTACATTTGGCACCCTTGCGATTGTTAGAATTTTACTAAGTTTCAAAGCAGTTTCATTATTACTACTCTAAAATAGAACATATTATCACATGGAGATCTATCCTGTATCACAGTGTCTCCTTTATCAACACAACACCTACAGGATTTTTTTTTTTTTTTTTAAAGTATCATTTATTGCCTCTAATTCACAGCCTTTGCCTCTAAAATTTAATTTTGTAAATCAGGTGGACATTTGCTCTAATACAAATTTTTGGTTATACTGCAAGGAACACTGGATTAAGAATCATACTGGATTACTGTCCTGGGCTCCATCTTGATTCTACCATTTATAAGCTTTGAGAGTTACAGCATGAGATCCAACCACTGACTCTCAGTATTTATGCCTGTGAAATGGGAACAACAAACACTGACTTTATATTTGCCTTATGCAAATATAAAGGGCTTGATACCACTATGAATAAGAGATTAGGAAATCTAGGGAGCGGAGGGGAAGGAAAGAGAGTATCAGTAAAATGATACATTTTGAAGTGGTTCTCGCTTTCTTTTTTTTTATTATTCATTTTAGGAAAAAGAAACTCATTTAAAGTACGAAATAACAGATGTTTTGCCATTGAGATCTTAAAATATACATTAGACAAAGTTCAAATCATTTTCAGTGTTCACAAACTAAACTGTAAAATCATAAATGATGAGAAAGTTGCATTCTTCAGGTTGCAGAAAAGCTACACTCGTAATCAGCTTCTGTGATAAGGGGCAATTTATTATAAAATTACAGGAATATTTCAAAGACCCGATCTCCTTCTCCCTCCTCCACCCCTGTCTGTCTCTCTTCTTTCTCCAGACTAGCCTTCTGTACTCCCAGTTCATATGGAAGAAAATGGACGCCAACACAGCCTCCACCTAAGAGAGAGTATCCCAACCAAGTCCCAATTCTAAATCGCTAAAAGTGAGTCTCAGGTTGTTCCAGTTTGAATCAGGTTTTCAACATCTAATCCAATCAACTGTGGCAGGGGCTGGGTCATGAAGCAGTTCTCTTTCCATTGTGATTAAAAACATAAGGTGAGGACAGGTCATTAGCATAACATTTCTATCAAACAGGCGCTTTCCAGGTGTTAACTATTAAAGGCCTAATTATTTCGGTTAGTCTTTCTTTATGACGCACAATGGATTTTATCACAATAAAAACAAATGCTTTGCCATAGGAAACCCTGAAGTTGTAGTGGTTAAGAGCTATAGCTGCTAACCAAAAGGTAGGCAGTTGGAATCCACCAGTCGCTCCTTGGAAACCCTATGGGGCAGTTCCACTCTGTACTATAGGGTGGCTATGAGTCAGAATCGACTCGATGGCAACGGGTTTGGTTTCGGTTTGGTGTAATCATAATATTATCATAAAGCCTTCTGACAGCATGTTTAGATCTTAGGATATTTTATACATCATTTATTCCTTTCTGCAATGGTTTTTCAGTTGCAGTAACTTTTAATTCATTCTTGTCATGAAGAGTAGCGATTTTTAGAGGTAGGGGTGCAGAGAGTAGGGGCACGGAGTGGCTAGCAGAGAGGATACAATCGACTTTGAGTTAAATGATATTTGCCAAGACTAGTGGCACAAGTTAGTGAATTACAATCTTTAACTTTTAGTCAATTCTGACATAAACAATTCTTAATAGAATTATGACTGTCACTCAGGGATGCAGGAAGAGATAAATAAAATTATATTTTATCATGAATTCACTTATGAAACATGACTGAAGTTCTAAATGTCGTCTTGGGTACAGTATCTAAAATGTTATAAGTCATAATGAATGAAAGTAATGAATTAAATGAAGTGGTACTTGATCTCACTAAAATTATGTTCAAAAAAATGTATATCTGAAAAACTCCATAGAATGGGCGAGAATCAAAATTTAAAAAATGATAAAAAAAAGGCCTGTCGCACCTAATTAACTGATTATGTTCTACCTCCTAATTTGTACTGAACTGTATGGTGGCACAGTGGCTGGTAACCGAAGGGTCGGTGGTTCGAACCCACCAGCTGCTCTGCAGGAGAAATATGCGGCAGTCTGCTTCCGTAAAGATTACAGCCTGGGAAACCCTATGGGGCAGTTCTACTCAGTCCTTAAGAGCTGCTATGAGTTGGAATCGACTCAACAGCAATGGGTTTCTTTGTTTTTTTCCCTTTTGTATGTTCTCTGTGCAGTATTTCTTGGTGTGACAGCTAACTTGGTTTGAAATACACAGGTCCTTGAGACATAAGGTCCCGGTATTTTCTTCAAGTAGGAGTTGTGTACCTAGTCTTTAAATGTTACTGAGTCTGATCGTATTAACTCTTCGCTTCTTGACCAGTAAGAAAGAAAAGGGCGACAGGCCTGGAGAGCATTTAAGAACAAGGAATAAGGAAGAAGAAGGAAACTCTTAAATTATCAAAAGTTTATATCTGGTTTTCCACAACTTTCTCATCAATTACAACCTCGTGAGTACTTAAACCCACCAAACAAAATCCTCATTCTAACACCCAATGCTTTCTATTTGTTTTCACTAATGCCTGGGTATGACCAGTATTATACTGATTTTTTGCCCAACTATTATACTGATGGAGCCTTCGTGGCGCAACGGTTAAGCGTGCAACTGCTAACCAAAACGTTGGCAGTTCAAACCCACCCAGCAGCTACACGGGAAAAAAGACCTGGCGATCTGCTCCCATAAAGATTACAGCCCAGAAAACCCTACGGGGCAGTTCTACTGTGTCACATGGAGTTATCATGAGTCAAAATTGACTCGACAGCACCTAACAACAACGATTAACCGATATCCAGAATCCTCAACAGTTATCCTTGCTTTCTAAGTTTTCGTTGAGACTTATTTTTAATGATCCATTTTAGTCTTTAGAGTCAGTTGTCAAAATACATATTAATATTTGCCCAAAGCCTCCATATAGAGACTTCTATGTCCTTATCTGATAAATAAGAGACTAGTACAAAATACCTAGATGTTAGCTATCAGATCAAAGACAGCCGATCTCTGCAGTACCTAGCTGCATAAAAATATCAACCGAGAAGAGACTCAAACCCAAGTCAGGTTAAACATGGATGACGACAGTGTCTCCAGAGGGAAAAAAATACAATACCACATAATATTACTCAATTTTAAAAACAAAAGGTAAAATTTGAAATCAGCGAGAGAAACACACAGTCAACCTTATGATCAAACTGTTTCCTCCAGTTCGATCTAAGCAGAAAAATAAAACCCCCAACTCCAACTATCACCAAATATGAGGAGTATTCGTTGTTGTAGGAAAGAGATTACTTTTAAAACCTGGAAGAATGCTAGAGCTTCATATTAGCTTCATTCTTCTGTGAAGTCTCTAGGAAGAGACACACAAGGCCCCAGTTCCACAATTCAAGACATTTAGTGTCCATGAG